CAAAATATTTAACCTTATTTTACCCCTTTATGCCTTTTCTGAAATTCAGAATATTAGGCACTTTAAGGAACAAAGCAAAACCTTCTCAGATAATTAAGCCATGATCTCCTATTTCTCAGGATAATGTCATAAGCCTGAGACTGCTGAGTATTCTCCTTTCACTGACCAAGAGAGAGTGTGAGAATAACTCCAGTGGTTATGGCACTTACCTGGGCTGCAGGGCACTCAGGTTCCTTGCTCCAATGAATACACTAAGCAAAGTAGAACAGTGTCAACCAAAAAGATTGCAAGGACCACCTCCTAGAGTAACCTTTCTTCAGGTATTAGGACACTTTTCTGGAAGAGGGAGAGATGGGTTAAAATCTCCTCAGTCAAAGGAGAGAATTGAGCCTGGGCACATGTGGCAGGGGGATTAAAGCAGTATACTGACACCATTTCTCCTCTTCCTCCTTGGTGGTTTTATGAAGAGTGTGTAAATATTAGCCTTAATTTTCATTGTTTTGCATCTTTTTGCTGAAAGTGCCAAACGTGGAAATGAAAACTGGTGTTTGGTGCAAAATGAAAAAACAAAAAATATAATTGAAGTGTGATCTTAACCTTTTTTTTTTAAAGTGCTAGACTGGACTCACTAAACTAAAAAAATACTTATTTAGACAGTGCCGTTGCCACACCGCTGAGGACATAGTCCTTTCTTGGCAAGGGATTATTTAAAGTAACTTCCTTATAATCCACATGGAATCTAATGCTGCTTTCTTTTCTTCCCCTAAGCAGAAGTATATGTGATGCTCAGGGGTGGGTTCATAACTCAGTTTATGCCATCCTGGCACACTTTCTCAATAACCTGAAAAGCCTTTTCTCTCTATAAAGCGAGTAACTTAACAGTCTGGCATCCCCTAGCATCAGTACCATTGCAGTATAACCTATACCTATGCTAACATATATTACTGCTGATTTTTTACCAGATAGTTTTTCAAATCTTCATATGCCTTCTTACTTTAGTTATTCTCTTTGCTGGCAACAAGCAACTCCCACTGATATCAGTGAGAGTTTTCTTATTTTCTCAAAGACATATTGGGTCTTTTAAGGTCAGTGTAACTATGCTTGATTTACATCGTTGAAGGGGATAACTGCAAGAGGTCCAACCTGTTGCTGTAGGACCTGTTAACATGTGATACCTTCCAAATAATACCAATATGGCAAAGCAAATATAGGAGAAAACTAACACTTCAAATAATAATGTTTCTTTCACTCATCCTTGTCAAGCTGTGAGTTGTTCATGGATTTGTGTTACCTGCTTGTCAAGTAGAATTCAGTACTCAACCAGAATTAACTTTCAGCTCCTTTAATATAAAAGGTCATAGCTAGAGCCCAAATAATCCATGGCTGTAATGTATACCATGTCATCTGTCTCTAGTTGTAGAGGCTAAACTGTCTTTAACATTAATTAAATAAATAAAGGCCAAATCATCACTTAGCATAAAATGGTGTTATTCTATGTGAGCCAGTGGTGGTACACCAATTTACACTGATGGAGTTCTCAGCTAACTTCAGCCCATGTACTTGCAAACAAAAGATTTCAAGCATGTACTGAGTTTAAATCAATGCAGTGTTGTATGCTTGAGCCTGCCAACATTATGAAACAATAGGTCTGAGAGAAGTGTACTGCTGAATTCCTCCCACTGGGTGTTAATTTTGAAATCTGATGATGCATGTTTTGATGTCAACACTGGTAACTATTGCAGTCTTGATCAACTGATAATCACCTATTGTACTTATCCCACAAGTCCAAATGCTTCCAACTCCTCAGCTGCCTCAAGTCCAACTGTCCAGTGGAGAACTGCCAAAGCTTTTAGCTTCCCTTGACAGTTATACATTTCCAATACAAATACTGCAGAACATTGAACATTAAGAGTTCAGTGGCAGCATAAAAGAAATGAAATTCAACATAAAATTAAATGAGGGGGTGTATTATAGTGATTGTATTATTCCTTTTTATATTTAATTCAATGAAAATTCCAATATTGAGGCCTTTCAAAAGCTCATTTGCTGAGCTGGACAAATACAGAATGCAAGTCAAGCTTGCCATTGTATAAACTAGCTCTTGAATAGTTCTGCACAGTCTAAATTAACAATGAAGCAGCTGACATATGATTTGTTGTTGCATCCTTATGCTTTCTGAGTAATAAACAGTTCATGTGAAATTTAATATTTATCAGTTACATCAAAAAAAACCTGTTTTGTCTGAAAGGTAAAGCACAGAGTTCTGCATATATTTCTTTTGCATCTTATATTTATGTTGCTGGTCTTTGTAAGGATGCAACACAGAATGATACTTCGCAGTCTGACTGACAGATAATGCTACATGAGTTAGAACAAGAGAGAGATAAAAGCTAAGCCAAATAGGTGATACTACAGTTTCAGTACAGCTCCTTGTTATTGCAGAATCTTTTTTTTTTTGTAGTGAAGATTGTTATTGCTTCAGTTCATTATTGAGTACTGCTGTACTGTAAGTGTGAGTTGTCTGTTTTGATAAAGACAGACATCAAGGATGTGGACATTTTACCCAAACTGAGGTAGATTCACCCACAGCCAGCTTCAGAGTCACAGAATTGCTATGGTTCAGGAGGAAAGAGACTAATGACCATATGATTTCTGAATCTTTTAAAAATAAAACAGAATTCTGCATGAGCTTATACACCAGAGCAGATGGACCTTTTGGCAGTTCACCAAAAGAGAAGTGGTAGATACTTTGTACACAGTAACTCTAACCCCTCAGTGATTGGAATAGCTACAACAAAAGGACCGGGTGCATTTATCCATACTTCCTGCTTATAGATGTAATCCCTCCTTCCCCTCCCCTCTCTCCTCCCCACCTCCCAATGGCACTTTAGCTTAATCTCCATGTGCCCTCAAGTCTGAATGCCCAGCTCATGCCCAGAAGAGGCATCACATTAGTTAGACCTGGCTCGTCTAACACCTATAGAGATCAGACGCTTTAGTGGGGCGTTTTTGGCCCTTTTATCTAATAGCTGATTGAATCACCTATTAGATAAAAGGACCAAAAAGCCCTACTGAAGCACCCAGTCTATACAGATGCTGCAGAGCCAGGTCGAACTAACTCTGGTAAAGTACTTTTTCTTTTCCACGTCTCTCAGCAGCTACTGAATGTACAGGCAAAGTGACAGTTTTGTATTCCATTCATCATATGCATGGTTCATTTGTACTAAGCCCGTTTACTCAGATTTTCTGTCACATTTGTAAATTTGGACCTCAAAGTTGTATTAATCTGTTAGCTAACACGTGCACAACTGTTTACCGAAGTCAGTGGAAGAAATAATGTCTATACAAGGGCAAAATCCTGCTCCAAGGAGGCAAGCCATGTAAAATTTTCATCATGATTTTCTGAGAATTCCCCCCCCAAAATCTGATATTTTCATTTTGGCGAGGCCACCTATACATCTGAGTCCCAAGACTCAAAATAATTTCCGGAATGTGGTTTCCTTGAGAACGCAAAAGAGGTTCTGTCTCAGCTAACATAATCAGGTAGGATAAGTACAGACAGCCAAAAAGCCCAAGGCAGAAGCAATTCAATTTTTGCTGGTTTCTCTAAGCTGCATAGATTGAACCGATAATGAACTGGACTGACGTAGTTTCCAATTGGAAAAGGCTGGTGGAAACCTGCACTGATCCAGGTCAGTGGGGGGCAGGGGAGGGAGGGTGCTAGAGCACACCTCCCTGGGGCAGGTCCAGGGAGCCAAGGGGAATTCCTCCCCTCCCCCGTACAGTTGCTTGCCATGGGTGGGAGGGGGAAGGAGTTCCCTGAGCCAGTTGCCAGCCTGCACAGCCAGGCGTGGGGCCTCTTTCCCCAGGCCGGGGCATGCTTCCCAAGGAAGTGCCCCCCCATGACCCCATGCCCAGCTGCACAGGTGGGCACCAGGCCCAGGAGACTCCTTCTGTCTCCCACCTGCGGCAGCTCTGTGATAGCCCAGGGGCAGGGCTAGTGAGGTGCTGGGCTGGAGCAGCAAGAGTCAGCCATGTTCCAGTGGGCTGCCCTATGGGAGGGGGGAGGGGTTGTGAGGGAGGTGCAAAGCACCCTGGGAAGTTGGGGGACTGGGAGATAACTTGAGGCAGGCGGGGATGTGGGACAGAAGATAGACCAGTTTAAGCTAAATCAGTTAAGTCTTAAACTATATCCACCCAGATTTATCTTAAACCAGTTTTGGCCATTTTGAAACAAACCTTCTGTTCTCTTACAGCTTTATACTTGTTTTCAGTCACTTAAACTGGTTTATGTGTAATTTCTGTCCCTAGCCTTAGAGCCAGTCCTTGAAGGTGGTAAACACTTGCTGAGATTTGCTCAACGACCTTCAATTCCCTTGGTCTTATTTGGTGCTAAGGGCAGTCAGAATATTACAGAACCAAGTCTGTATATATTTTTAGCTTATATGAGTTAATAACAACATTTGTTGAGATTCAGAAGATACCAGGTATGTGAGATTAGTGCATTTAATCACTTTCAGTTTGTCCCTCAACAGCATGAATAAAAGACAATGCAAAAGTATGTAACAGTGTTCTCTAACAAAAAAAAATCCCAGAATCAAAAATGCCTTTTCTACTGTCCATGACATTTGAAAGCAAGCTATTTGGGGTTTTGCCCCTAACATGTTAAATTTTAACTCGGTGTGTGTGTATGTAAACTATTATTTTTGTCTCTCTTTATCAGGGCTTCTTGTAGTACACTGGATCCGATTATTTTAAATCTTAAAAGAGACACTGGTGAGAGAATAAATCATTCAGATTAAGCCTGCATAACATTTTGCCAGTCTGCTACAGTTTAAAAGGGAAGATAAGTTTTTTGTTCATGTTCATGTTGGCACTGAAAATAACAAGAACTCTCTAGGATTAAGCTATATATTTCAATGGTGGATGAATGCATTTGATCCATTAATTCTGTGGTACCAGAATCTTTGTTGAGCCTGTTTTTGTTTATTTTTGTGCAGGGAGTTTGGATGGCGGGATCCTGAACTTCCAGAAGTTATACAGATGTTACAGCATCAGTTCCCCTCAGTACAGTCCAATGCTGCAGCCTACTTGCAGCATCTCTGTTTTGGAGACAATAAAATAAAAGCAGAGGTAAGACTCTTAGGGATTTGTTCTAAACTGACACTGTCTAGTTGATTACAACCACAGATAATTATACCTATTTGCAAAAGCACTATGAAGGCAATCATGTATATATGTATATAATGTGTTGACTCCAGCTTTTAATTAAGTCATTTGCTACCATCAGACAAAGCATGAGTTGCATAATGTCTTTTGAGTCATCCACTTGGATTACTCGTTTGTTTGGATTTGTTTATTTTAAATTGCATGTGAGACATCTGAATGCCACATCAGTGGGTGTCCAATAAGCAACTAAGGTCATGATCTTGCTCCCACTGATATCTATGGGGGTTTTGCTTTTGATTTTAATGGAAGCAAGACTGGGACTAAATAAAATAAATATATCAAATAAATAACTAAAGTACACTAACAGAATCCAAACAGAATCAAGAATGCGGGTGGCTGAAACATGTGCTCCAAGCAAAAAAAAATAAGGTTCTGATTCAAATTCAGCTTCATTTATGCTAGAACACTAAAGAAATAATTCCATTGAGTTCAATAGGAGATTGAACAGGGATATGCCAAATATGTTGCTTTGTTGTTTCACCCAAAGTTTAGAAGATGATTATAATGCAAGTGAAGCCTGAAAACTGGATGGCTTGGTATAAATTCTGCCTTACACATCATCCACATATACCCTGATAATATAAAGCCTGATATCCAGCCTTAGCTGATCTATACTTAGTTCTCTCTTGATTTTGGGAGCCCAGAGGAGCAAGGTAATACAGCACTCGGGCTGCTCTTAAAATTCTGCTGGCTGGTAATAGGTTTCTACAGTGTTGTGGCAGTGCAGCATTGCTCCAGTCACCACTCTCCCCTTCCACATTCCCTATACATCTTTTCATGCCCTCTTCACTTCCCCCTGGTATTCCTCCATGCTGGAGGCTGTTCCCAGGTGGGAAAGCTTTTGGCCTTTTTGCATTGCCTGAGCATCACAATAAGACTGCATGGGGTCAAAGGATCTGTCCCATCATTTTTATAAATTAAAAAAATAGTTGCTGGAGGATTAAAATAAGAGAGTGTTCTATGCCTTAAAGGAGATCTTTACTGTCTTTGTTGTTACAAGCTTTAGATGTACTTTTTTTCCGTCTTATTCTCTTCTCTCATCCCAACTCAGCATCTTAGTCTTTCATTAAAAGGATCAATTCATCTCTCAAAAAGACAGTTAAATGATTACAACATTTTATTCATGTACAACCACTGCTTCCTCTTATTAGTCATAGATTAGGAGCCCTTGCACAGCTGCCCAACTTAAGGGGAGAAAGTTGTTTCTTTTACTACCAAGTATTTGAGGAAAGCTGTTAGGAGACTAGCTGTTGTAGTTCTGACCTGCCCCATGAGGACAGCAACCTTTCACTACAGTTTAGGGCTTCAGAGTAATGATCTTGGTGTTCTTTGTGAGTGTGTGCGTGGGTGGGTGTATGCACTAGGGCTGTGTGACGCTTCGGTCCCCAATTTGATTTGGGGCTGAATCTCTGAATCCAGATCGAATCAGGAGACCCTTTAATCTCTCTGAATCCAATTGGAACCCTCTGAATTGATTCAGAGAGATTCGGAAAGATTCAGAGATTCGGCCATAGACACAGCTTTAAGTGTTTTTTCTACATACCTCAAGGCACTAGGTGGCTCATGAATGCTGCGATGCTGGGGCAGATGGAGCATCCCACAGGAGCATGGGAAGCTCCCCAGTGCACTCAGCAGCAGACCCGGAAGTGGATCAGAAGCACTTCTGGTCCACTTCCAGGTCTGCTGAGGAGACTAGAAAGGTGTTAGTAGCCCCTGGGATAAATTGGGACTAATAACATTTGGGGTAAGTACAGATCTTGGGGAGGTTACATCAAGCTTAAAATAGTCATCCAATCTAAGGTGTGTGGGGCTAGCAGGAGGGCTGTGGGGATCAGCAGGCTTGTGGGGAAGATTGGGGGGTCTGCAGGGGCGTGGGGTGCAGGCACCATCCACACAGGGATTAGGGGGACAAGTGGGATCTGTGGGAGAATTAGAGGAGCAGGTGAGGTCTGTGGGGGTGTTGCTGGGGTCCAGGAGGGTTTGGTGGGATCAGAGGGGCTTGCAGGGGATTGGAAGGTGGGGTTGGAGGGGACCAGAGATTACTTTTATCCTCCTGACGCTCCCCAGCAAACCTACATACCCATCCTCCCCACACTGGGACTTACTTCCTTGGCTCTTGGCATTTGTAAACACTGATACAACTGGCACTGGGAGCCGCTGCTGGATCTAAGTATAACATATACCAAATTTTGTCTTTAAAATAGTCAGAATGATGACCAATCATTCATCTCAGCTGACAACCCTTTCATGGTGTCTGTTCCTCAGGTGACTACAAATTTGCCCTAGTCCTGTGTGAGTGTGGTGGATCTGACAATATACATACAGTTGTTCCTAGGTGCTTTGTGGATCAGGATATTTTGATCTGGAGGAGAGAGTCATCTTAAATTCCAGTCAATTAACAAAAAAGTTAAAATAGTTATTATTTCACCTGCTTTTAAGCTCCCTGCCAATTTTTAGTGGTTTTACAAGTGTATTTCCTTTTTTCAAAAGTTTTTCTCTCCCATTCCCTCTCCTCCCCCACAACACATATTCCTTCTCCCTTTCCCCCAGGACACAAATGGAAAAAAGCAAACAAGCAAGAAAGAAAAAATGTACTAATAATGCTGTCAAATGTACATAGTAAATACAAAGAAAAGGGAAAAAAAGGTCAATATTTTTTCATTATTCCTTTTCAGTTACAATAATTGTAAGTTCTCCGTGTAACTCTACTAAGAAAAAACAAGTTTCAGAGACAATTTTAATTATTAACTTGCTAATGTCCTTTTTAAGAAACCCACATTGTTTCCCAAATTCAAAGCCCTGATCAGTTTTTTTCACAAGAACAAGTACAAGGCTTAAGTTAAGAATACCTGAATCTCTAATTTAGTAGCTGTTCTTTTCTCCAGTGAGATTTGCAGATGCCCTTGTCCTAGCTAGCTAAAAGGACATTCAACAAAGAGGATTACTGTTTCCCGCAAAGAGGCCTCAGGGTGGCTGCATAGGTGTCAAAAGCCATTTACTCACTCACAGAACACTTGCTGTGTGCACAGTGGGTCTTATTTTTATAGGAAGATTTTCATTTTTCCTTTCCAACTCTCCTAATGGTACATCAATATTGAGGCAGAATAAATAACAATGAATTTATATTTTTGAAGAAAATGTTGCTATTGTCATTTCCATTTCTCTTCTTTGCAACAGTTAAAAATACATCCAAGGGTTATTGCCTTTTTAAACTAGGATCGAGTTAATCTTTCCATTTCTGCAGGTGCAACTTTTACTCAAAATTTCCCTCAGTTTGCCTCTTTGCATTTGTGTGTCTTTTCTGTCTCGTTAGCCATGGCTGATCCAATGGCCATGAGCCCTATGAAACATTTTTGGTTAGTAACACTTCTTGTTAGTCCTCTGTTCCTGCCCTCCCCTGCTTGCTACTTAGGTGGTTTTAGAATCATCCAAGTGGAGTTGAAGATGCCTAGTTTATATAACAGTAAGTGACAGATGGGTTTTTGTCTGCTGTAGTGGGTGGTAACTAGTTAATAATGCAACATCTCACCTGGAAAAGTGAGGACAGAACATTCAGAAAAAAATAAAACACTACACTCCAATGTGTGACTCTTCGATTTACCATCTCTCACATTGTCCATATCCCAGCACACTTTGGAGAGCCAAACGATACATTTATTGAGCGCATAGCTATAACTGTGGAGAGAGCAATTAAAACTCAAAGGCAAGGGAGGAAAAATATGTTTTCAGCTCAGAACTGAAAACGAATGGAGAGCTGATGAGGCGGAAAGATACAGGAAGGCTCTTCCAGATGGCAGTTGCTACTGGGGAGAAAGCTCTCGCACCAACAATGGTGCGTTTGTATAGAAAGACAGAGAGTAGCTGGTCCTAGACAACCAGAGGGAACAAGGAGAGGAGGTGGAAAAAGAGAAGCATTTTAAAGTAGTCAGCAGAGAATTTTTTTTTAAGGAGCATTTTCTATTAAACACAGGATTCATTCTTCTGAAGCAATTTCACTTCCTTTAAAGGCTTCTAGCTCCTTTGTATGAAGTCACTATATAAAAGGATTGAATTGTGCAGTTTCACACACCAACACCATTTTGCTCTCATGGAAAGTGGCTACCAGCCATCAGCTGCAAAGGTATAACAGGTCACTAAGGGTTTTGGCACTGATGGCTCCTTTCTCTAAGATGGGAAATTAATTTCAGCTCTCAAGACACCGCACTCAGTGCTAGAAGATACCACACCATTAAATTGTTTAAAAATGGAAAATAAATGGTTAGTGACTACTAAAGCATCCTTCCTACTGCATTTCATGGCTTCCTTAGTAAACACTGCTGGATCTGACTGCCTGCTTTTTACCTGAGAGGGCATATATATATCTCCTTTTCCTGTACACTAACTTAAAAATAAAGGATCCCAGATTTTCCTGTATGATGATGTCACACTAAATACAAAGTGACTATAAGTTGTGAATGTTTATTTCTCCTGACTGCTTAGAACCATTATTCACATTTATTTTGACTGAAATCTTTAGCCTTTTTTCCTGGAGTTTCTTTTATCAATCCTTTCATATAAATTCAAAACCCTTTACCTTATTGCACATTCTTCTGTATTTCTGGAAGTGTGCACAGACTGTTTCAGTAACCTTGTGCTTAACTTCATTACTTCTACAGTTGGGTCCCATGTTTGTGGCATCTGAATGGGTAGATATCCACGTTCATCATCCAAGTTAATCTTTGTTGTTACAGTTTGAATGTCTTATTCATAATCTTATTCATGATCATTCATTCAAGATCATTCATTCAAAGGCCTGTTGCCTTTTTACTGCAGTTCACAGGGCTCCCTTTTTGGGGGTGCAGTTCTTCTTTTAAGGATGTGGGTAACTCTTTTTAAAAGCAAAGGGCACCAGTTCAGTAAACCCA